GGCGCAGGGGGTGCGGGTGTATGGCGAGGGGTGCCCAAACCCCGGGGCTCGGAGGGGGTCGCGGGGGCACGCGCGGGAGGTGCTGTGCAGCGGGCAGCACGGGCGCAGGGACCCCGGTTCCACCCAGAGCGTGGCGGGTCCTGCCCGGCTCCGGGGGGCTTCCAGCAGAAGAGACCCCGCAGGACCCCGTGCCCTTCGGCTCCTTCGCCTTCCTCGCGCGACCTTGGCCTCGCTGCCCGGCTCCGGCGGCAGAAGCTGATTCTCCGCATTTTGACCCCAGCGACGGTGCAAAGGGTTCAGCTTCTCCCGGTGTCTCCAGGACCACCGTGGGGGAAGGGATGGAGCAGGGCGATGGCAGCGTGATGGCCACGTTGTGGCCCCCACTGGAGAATCCCAAGAGGTGTCTGAGAGTCCCAAAATCTCCGGGGAAGTTGGCAGTACCTTGGCCCAAGAATTTAGCACCTTGCCACCAAAGGCAGGTCCTCGCTGGCCTGGCACGGCCGGGGGGGGGCACGAAGGTGATGCGGTGATTGCCCACAGCTTTGGGGTCTCTGGGGACTTGTGCAATACGGGTGGCTACTGCCACAGCCTCTGCGCCCACCCAGTAACAATGGGTCAGGACAACCAAAAAAAGAGAGGTTTGGGAGAGATAACCTCTGCTCTGGTTTGTTTGAGATCTTGAAAGCAATTAAATAATAGCTATTCCTTCCCCCCCACACACCGTTTTCATCACTTATCAAAGAGACAATAGAAAGCAGGAAATTAAGAGTGACTTGGAACAAAGAGCCCGGAGCCCGGCTGCTGATTGCGGCAAGAGGTTCTCGTTTGCACTTAGCCATCCACTTCCCAAGGTGGATCTGAAGACCCCAGGTCCTGGAGCACCAGGGAGAGTCATCATCAGCCTCATAAATCTTCAGGAGGCTGGAAAAAGCTTCTTCCGAAACAAATGGTGTGGAAATCAATATCCCAGTAGAAGCGCGTGAGGAGGCAGGACAGGGAAGAAGATGGTTTGGCTGATGCGGGTGGGGGATGGGGTCTCTGCGGGGTGCTGCCCCCTGGGGATGGGGTACCCCATTGCGTGTCACCTGTGTGTGTCACCCGGGATGCTGCTCCAGGCAGGGGGACCACCGCCGCGCTCTGCCTGCTGGAAACGCAGGCAGCGGTGCAGGCAGAGCAGGGATGTTCCCCGACACGGGGGAGGAGGGAGTGCGGCACACCCGTGTGGCACGGGAGAGGGTTTTGATGCCTCGTGACCTTTTCACAGTTGTTTTATCCTCTCTCTCGGCTGGTTCCTGTGCCGGGGAGAGATGTCCTGCCCGTGCCCTTCCCTCAAAGCCGCATCGCTGAGCAGTTTCTCCCAGCGTGGTGCTGAGCATCGTCTTCCCGCTGTGCCGGGGGCCGGAGCGGCGGGCAGCTGGAGCGAGGGAAGCGCAGGGATCTCGGCGTGCCTCTCGCCGGCTGCGCGGCTGCCCATGGAGCGTCAGGGCTTCGGCCGCCCCCTGCCCTGGGCTTTCACCTCCGTGGGCGGCTGGCCGTGGCTACAGGGGCCAGGGAGCTGCGGGAATTCAGCCAGCAAGCCTGCTTGGCTACAACCAGATCTGATCTTCATTAAAAAAAAACCCCAAAACTAATGAAACGATGGGCCAGTGCGTATTAAAGGGCTGATCTGAGCTGATATCCACCCAGCGAGGAGCGCAGCGGCAGCAAGCTGAATCAGAAAGCTGTGCTTGAGCCTTTTGAAGATGCTTTTTTTTTTTTTTTTTTTTTTTTTTTTTCCGTTTCTGCTGCGGTTTCGGGTTGAATTAAAGCCTAATGTCGAGCGTGATCTGTATCTCTGGGTGGTCCCTGGTTCGGAGAGACGCTGTACCCCAGCAGCTGGTTTGGTGCTGGCAGATAAACTCCTCTTTGTCCTTTAGCCTGGGAAGCATCCATTCTGCTGAAAAGCAATTTACTGGGGGGGGGGGGACGCGCGGCCTCTTCCCACACGGCTTCGGCGGCCGATATAACCCATGGGAGAGGGGCACGGGGATTACGTGACCGCAAAGCGGTTTTTAAAGTCCTTCCAAGTTTCCTGCCATCCATCCCCAGCTGTTCTGCAAGACTCCCCGTGGAAAACAGCGCTTTCGACCCCTGTCCTGGAAATGAGTGTTGTAAGGCGCTGGGGGTTTGGTTGCCAACGGAGGGGTAGGGTGAGCCGGCCTTTCTCCCCGAAAAGCGGAGGGGAGGCAGCGCGATCTCCGGCATTTTGCAGGAATGAAGGAGGCTGTGTTGGACCGGTGGGGCTCTCTGATGGCGGAGGGGAACTGGGGGGAACTGGGAGGCAGCTGATGTTCCCCAGCAGTCAGGAGGGGAGGGATTTGCCCCGCAGCTTGCTCCTCCTGCTCGCCTGCAGCCACCCCGCACTGCTGGGGGAGAGATGGGGGTACATGGGGTTGGTCACCCACTTTTGGGTCCCAAGTGGGTGCCACGGGGTCCCTGTCTCAGCCCTGTGCATTGCTGTCCCCAGGAGTGGTCCTGCCCGCAGCCCTTCTGCTGGTCCCCCCCGTTACCTCTGTTAGTGACCGATGGCAGAAATGCCGGGCCATCGCTCTGCACCCTGTTTGTGCTGGGGCACAGGTCCCAGGGGGGTTAACGTTCTCTCTCACCTCCTTTCCTCTGGGTGCCCGGCTGCAGTGTCCCACGACGGGATGGGAAGGACCTTTGCAGGGAGCGCAGGGAGCTCTGGGACTCGTCATCACCTTTGCCCGGTGACAAGCCGGTCCCGAGCAGCTCAGCCTCCGTGCACGGGGCAGCCATGCCCAAGCCCGCTGCAATCGGAGGGACCCCGCTGTCCCCATGGCCGTAGGGACAGAGATGACTGCGGTGCCCTTATCCCTTCCCATCTCCAGCCCAACAGCCACGGGCGGTTTTGGTGGCTCTGCTGACGCCTGGCTGGAGGCTGCCTGGCTCACTTACAGGGATGCCTGGGATGGGGGGAGGCTTTGCTTTCTGCTAATTAGCCAGACAAACAGGCCTGGACCGTCTCCCCAGACCCCCGAGGCAGGGCAGAACCAGCCTGGTTGCTGCCGGACAACGTGATCTAATCGGGCAGCGTCTGCAGCGGTGATTGATGGGGAGGGAGAGGCGCTGGCGCCCTTCACCTGCGGCCAAGGCAGGCGGGAGCATCCCTGCACGCCCCGCAGCATCCAGACCCCGCGGGATGCAGGTTTCCCAGGCTCTGCCAGGGGACCCCCGCACCCGGCTCCTTCCCCGGGGCTGCCTCCCCCCCCATCAGACCTCCCTGCAGCTCCCACCTCTCCCCTTCTCACCCTGCTGTTATTTGCCTCCCTAATTAGTTTATCGATCTCCGCTGAGGGTGCCGGGGCTGGGCTGCAGTGAAAGCTGCTGCACACATTCCCCGTGAATCATACGGCGAAAGCCCTGACGCTAATGAGCCTTTGGCAACGGCGGCCCGAAATCTCTGCTCGTGCCCGTGTCTCTCCCCGCTGTGCCTGGCTGGTTGGAGGGTCGGGCGCGTTAAATGGGGCCTTAGTGCTCCGCGTTTGGTTGCCAGGAACGTCCGGGTTGGTTACAGAACGTGTCCATCCGCTGGTACTCCCATCCCCTCCTTCAAAGCGGCCGCGGGTCGTAGCTCAGCGCCGGTGGGACTCTGCGCTGCCCCAGCCTCGCACCGCGTCCAGCGTGTCTCCCACGGCGAGCCTAAAGCCAGCGGAGAAGCATAAAGCGGTGACTTTGTGCCCTGTGACTAGTAGGTGCCACGAGCTCGTGGGATGGGGATGGCGTGTCCCTGCCTGGTCCTGTCTGTGGTGCTGTGCCGCTCCCGTGCCCCATCCCCGGGACATCTCTGGATGTCTTTGTCCCCTTGGCAGCCGCCTTGGTGCAGGTCCAGGCTGGCTCCGTCCTCTGTCCCAGCTTGACGTGGGTGAATTTACGTTGGGAAAGAGCCCGGCGGTGAGCCCAGCCTGCGCAAAGGGGACACAGGACGGGAGCAGAGGGACCCCGCTCGCCGTGCCCGGCGACAGGCACGTCTGGGGCATCTCCAAACCCGCCTCAGCCTGCGGTGCCCCCAGGCTGTGTCTCCTGCACCCTCTGCCTGCCTCAGCTACCCCGGGGCATCCCGATGGAGTTTTATTGCAAGAAAACGATGGGATTTGGGTGCTGGCTGCCCACCAGCCCCAGGGCTCCCAGGAGCCGGGACTGCGGTGCCGCCCCTTGCAGCATCTCACGCACCTTCATGGCAGAGATTGCACAAGAACTTGTGCTCCTTTTGTTGTTTAAAATGCGTTTTAGGGACTCTAGGGAATGCATGGATGCAATGGCTGGACTCATCCTTCCCGGTGCTGCTGCGGGGAAATGCCTCACAGGAGCTGCCGTCCCCCCTGGCACTGCCTTGCCGGGGGGATAACTGCCATCTGCCCGGCATGGGACGCTGTCCCCACTGGTGGGGCAGCCCTGCTATCCTGGGAAAAGTGACACGGAGATGTCCCTGCACGCAGAAGTGACGCCGAGGAAGCAGGGAGGAGGGATGAAATGATTTTGCTGATGCTTCTGCACGGAGCCTCACTGCCATCACAACTGTCCCCATTGCCCAGGGCTGCCCACGCGTCCCCGAGCGGGGACATCCCTGCCAGCCACCCCCAGACCGCGGCAGCGTGCAGGGCTGCCGTGTCAGCGGTGTCCCCACGGCCAACCCCACCGGCTCACCAGCTGTCCCCAACCCCACCA